AATAAAATAGATTTAGCTCATCTGGTTGTGTTTCCTGTCTGGTCTATCTGGGAAGGCTGACCCCCTCCAAATGCTGCAGAATTACAATTCCCACGATTCTTCATTAGGTGGGGGGGGGGGCGCTGCTGAGAATTGTAGTCAGCAAAATTTAGAGAACCACTTCTTCCTCACCCCTATCCTACTATAAGTTTAATGAATACAGTGTTTTCATTTTTTAAAAACACCTTATTTAGACAAAGTTTGTTATGATCTCTTCCTCTTTAAACATACACAACAAGCTTGTAAACGCATGCACCACCTCAGGGTATTATTATTTCTATAGCAATCTTCCCTAACATTGCCCCATTCATAATGCTGAAGCTTATTCATTTGTTATACATTATACATTTTATTTAGGAGATCAAAGTGGCATGTATAGCACTTGTATCTCCAAATTTGTCCTCACAAAAACCCTGTGAAATCAGTTGGGCAGGGACAATCATCCAGTAGCCTCCACAACTGGACTTGAACCTGGATCTTCCTGACCTAAGCCCAAAACATTAACCATCACACCACAGTTGCTGATTCTAGTTCCTTATTTATGTGAAACTTCTAATGAGAACTTAGTCTCTCAGTTCAGTAAAGTGTATATAACCCTATCATTTATGTAATGTTGTACCTCAAATTAAGCATAAACTATCATTCATCCAGAAGGATCAGATTGCAACCTCCATCATTCCCATTTTGCAGAGTTCAGTTGGGGAGTCATACTCTGTTACATTAGGAGGACTGCAGGTTCAAAGGGGCCCCTTGCCTTTGAGGGACCATCAAATACACTCCCCTTCTATTTTGCAGTACAGGTAGTCCCCAGGCTAAGAACGCTCGGTTTACAGATGAGCTTATTGTAGCAAAATTTGAGTTAAATGCACCATGATTTGAGTTAAGTACACAATGGTTCAAGTTCATTATACAATACTACCTATACAGTATTATACAATAATACTGTTCTAGCTTACATACAAATTCGACTTAAAGACAGACCTTGGGAACAGAACCTGTTTTTAAACTGGGGACTACCAGTACCTTCTGGGAGAAGAGTTATTTCCAAACTGAACTGCTTGTTTTCTGATGTGCATTTCCAGCTTACTTGTTGCTTTAATGTGATGCCTCCCTTTTAACGGTTTCTGTTTCTGAATTTAAGTATGGCTGATAAGTCCAGGCAGCAGGAGAGAGTTTGACTGCAACTTGAATATAAGCAGATCCAGAATTTCATAACACGCAGTCAAAAGGATTTAGGAGATAATGAGTGCGCAACACTAAATCTCTCAACTTGGAAATGCGTCAAAGCAGTGAGAGCCTAATCAGCGTAAGAGGGCTGCTTGCTCTGTGTTTTCCCACCATATTTGTTCATTTGTTTCTCAGCCACATTATTTTACAAGGTCCCAGTTTACGTAGCTTGGACTCTGGGAAATACTAAACCCAAGAACCAAGTTTTTCAGAAAGTTGCTTTATTGATTCTACTCAGAAGATGTTTAGAGAGCAAAACTGCAACTAGTGGTGGTGTTATTCATCAGAGAACATTCCTGCAATTGTCCTGTAAATCCACTGAAATATGGATTTGTTGTCATTTCAGTGGTATTCCAGGAAGAGAATGATGTGTAGGAACAATTGTTAGATATTTCAGACCTGATAGTTTGTTAACTATTTCAGAACAAAATACAGATTAGGAAAAATATATTTCGGCAGGAAATTAGACAATGTTTATTTCCCACCCGCTCCACTTTTCCCTTGAAAATATTTTTCAGACAACTGTGGTGGCAGTTTTTTATGACCAAGGTAGCTTTCATCAAGAAAGAGGTAGGATCTTGATACTGGAACTCACTAACCAGACAAAACTATTTGGACTGGAAACAAGCCACCTATAACTAAACTGAAGTCATGCCTTTAAGGGTGCAGGAAAGGAAGAAGCAAGATCCTCTGTCCCAAGGTGGAATCGTACTGACATCAACAATGGTAGGCAGAGATTTCACTTTTTTTAAAGAAGCAGGGTCTAAAATTTTGTCATTTGGGTTATAAATCAGAAGAAAACTTAAAACAAAACCAATTTCAATTAAATTGTGGAGAAGCAGAAAAATTATGGGCTTAACTAAAATCAAGTTAACCCAAGTAGGACAATACAGTTAATTCAAATGATGTAAATTCCTTGACTTAAGAAATGAATAGAATGTAAGTACATATTCACACAGAGTCCCCCCACCCCAAATGTATTCTTTCTCTTTAATTTTTTCCCAGGATGTTGCTACTGCTCATTCAGTTTGTGCCCCAAATACAGAACTATATTGATTGAAGACTATAATAAACATCATTAATTAATAATACAGAAGGAAATGCCATCTGATGTAACAAGCTGGAGAGTTTACTCACTGGAACTATAAGGATGGATTATTTTCCTAGAAAAAGAAATATCTAAGCTAGCCTATCCTAATCTCATGCCCTCCAGAAGTCTTGATTTCAAATACTGTTATTTTGAGCCAATGTAACCAAGGGCTGTAGGAATGGTGAGAGTGATCAATATGGGAAGCCGGCCAGCGTGAAATGCCAGAATTACTTGAATTAAAGGTAGTTTTCTTGGCAACAGTATGAAGTGTTTTCCATTGGTTTCTTTTGGAATTTGTTTTTTCTTTTTTTTACTTCCTACTCTAGCCAACAACTGTTCCATCAAGTATTAGGTCTTACATTGCTTAACCATTTTTTAAAAATGTAGGTGCTGGTAATCTGTGGTGATCAGAATGACTTATCTATAAATAAATCCAAGCTGGAATAAGTAAATCCAAGATGAGAATACAGGAGGCCTAATGCTTTCACAATGACTTATTTGTATATTTTTAATGAATATTTTACTTTTAATGAATATTTTGCAAACAAATCTAAAACTAGAGTGCTTCCCACAGACTTTACCCAAGATTTTATATGAAGCATACTGGCTTTTTCATGGGCTTTAGATGGTTGGAGTACATCCTTTTGGGACATTTCTTGAACTATTTCAGTGAAGGGAGGGATTAGATTAGCATATGTTATTTCTAAAGATAACTTTGCTACTTGCAGAGACATTGACAGCAGGAAATAGATGAAAAATTACAAGCTACTTTAAAGAACATGGCTAAACAATAAGAGATAAATATCAGCCAAAGTTTATCTTTCTGAAAAGCAAAAATTTAAAACCAGCAGCTGTTGCTACTGCTTCTCTCAGCCAGCTTCAACTGGGATTAATGTACAGTTTGTCAAATGTCACATGAGTGTGTTTCATGTTCTATATATACCAGATCATCCTTCTCCAACCAAGTGTCTCCAGATGTGTTGAGACCAATGTAGTTTCAATCATCTGGAAGGCACCAGGTTGGGAAAGGATATATTCTTCCACTCCAATCTATAAAATTTCTTATGTATTCCTTAATTACTTTTTTTCAGATTATGGCCAAAATTTCTTGAAAGAAAATATTGTATTGTATTGTTCAGGTTCTCCTAAAACTGTATTGTACAGGATTTCAGTTCCCCAGGACCATTAAAATATCAGCAAAATGCCTTTCCCTGCCCTCATATCTGCCACACAGCTCATCCTGTGAATAGGATATGTTTTTTTCAGGATCCATCAGTTCAGTCTAAATATTTTCTTCCTGCTTTGTCAATCAAGACCTTGCAGACTCTGTTAAAAAGATACTAAAGTACAGTATCCAAATTTACAATGCCTATCACAAAGTTAGCTTTTCTGAAATAGCACATTTCTATATCCTTCTGATTTGGTGATTTCTTTATGTGCTCTGCAACAAACAATAAAGCAAGGGGTTGTACCAATCCCATGTGGCTACAATGGTAGGAATGATTTAGTAAAATTTAAGCACTATCTATTAATTAAGTGCTTTTGTCTTGCACAAGGCTATATTGGTAACAAAACATTACAGGTGTTAAATTTTAGTATTGCAACTCGTAAATGATAGCTTTCTGCCTGCCTTCCAACATGGAGAATTTAGCAAAGCTTTTTTAATGGTATATTTGTAAAACAATATATATAAAAGCAGGGTTAAGCAGATTCCCATATTCCTGGAACCCACCAGGCTTTATGTCCCACCTGACTTTTTTTTTCTTAAAAAATGAAATGAAATAAGAAGGAGGTAGCATCCTGCAGCATTGTAGTTATTTACTATAATGCCTTTGGGCCTTGCACAGGATATACCTAGATGATAGACAGTATACTGGGGGAGGGGGAGCGTACTTTTTTCCCCCTACTGAATAGGTGTTTTTGATGGGCCGTGCCCACCAGGTAAGACCTTTTGTCAATAGGCCAGGTCTCCCTTGTGGCTGTTTTGGGAATATGACCACCACCACTCTCAAAATTCTAAATGTGGCCCAGCCCCAAAAGGTTGACCAGTCCTAATTTCCACCTAATCTAAACAACCTTAAGCAAATGGTTATAATAAATATTTATCTGCAATTAAAATGTATTATGATTGGAGCAGTTAAAATCTTTCCCTGCTAATGATTAATGTTATAACATTACACTTTATTTTCAGATCCCATCTACTACTATCTATCGAAACTGTCAGTAAATCAGACTATATATAAGATCACAGAGGAAAGCAATAATTGTCTTTATATTTTAAGAAGTCTTTCTAGTAAAACTGATGCTATAGCTCTAATGTATATTGCTGTTTGATCACACACTATAATAGCTCTGATCTACAGCAAAACTGGGAGCCTTGAAATTTTCAGTAGTTGAACAATTGCAATGTTTAGAAATAGGCAGTTTGGGAATCCCTGATCTATTGTCAGTAAGGTATATTTCTCCACACAGATTCAGTAGGTAATTGGATCTACATCTTGAATCATATTTGCATCTTGAATCATATTTGCCTCTGCCTCCAGTTGGTAGATATTAGGGTTCTAGTAAAAAGAAAATAGATCCTGCAAAAATGTTTTCCCCACGACTAATTCATTTTTAACTTCTGGAAGGAGCTGCATCCTCTCTAAAGAAGGGATAGATAATTTTTTCAGCCTTGGGGGCTGTCTTGATTAATGGTAAGAGGATGGGACTACATACCTCTACACCACACTTATCATATATCATTCACATTCCTTCTTAGATCACCCTCCCCCAACCATTTCTGAGTAGGGTTACCGAGAAGAAGAGAGTAGAGTTCCCCCCACTGCTTCGGCTATTAATCTGGGTTGCAAAAAATGTAGACTGTCACTTGAGTCTACAAAGAGACATAGAAAAGTCATGCAAATTTTGCAGTCCAGATCAGATACCCTCCCTCTGATAGTAATTCACTGGTTTCTCATCGTAACTTTAAACAGTGCCTTTGAACAGATGCTCTTGAGTGATAAGAAGGTGAGTGCATTTATTTATAAGAATGAGTATATACTATAAGTACATGTATGGGGTTTCTTCTCTTATATAGATGGGGCCCACCTTAGTAGTAATGGCTGCTACAGGCTGGCTACATAGCAATATAAGCCTTGGACCTACATTGTCAAAGGACAAATGCTGTGTTATTGCAGTGTAAAAGAGGCCCTTCAAAAACCAAGAGGATTCCAAACTCAGCATCTGAACTCAATTCATCACAAACTGTGTGAAATACAGAAGAGCTCACTGGTGTTTGGTTTCAAAAGTTATTTATATCTGATTGCTCCTGTCAGATAGTCCCTGATGCTTAGCACCCAGTTTAATAGTCCTAGATAAATTAGAAGTTAATTCTATAACTTGGGGAGGGAGGGGAGAAGACAAATTATGGGAAATTATTCTGGTAATTTCTGCTGTATTTGTTACAATGTACTTCAGCTGCATTTATTTCTGAAATCCACTAGAGGGTATAAGGAAATTAATCATTCTCATTAAGGTAGTTTTCCAGCTGCTTTTCAAGTGCAACGATTCAAAGAAAGGTGAGCTGGCTTTTAAAAAAGTTAATCCTGGACAAATGTCGTTTGGAAATAGGAATTTGTGAGAATTGTCCTGCTGAAAACAAAATTGCACTAAAGTACACAAAAGACTAATTTTCAAAGATGGGAATCCAGAGAAACAGAAAGCTGGTTTGGTATGTCAACAAATGAAAGATTACTGAGCAGATACGGCTGCAGCACCTAGTTTTATGCAATGGAAGTGCTTTGAAACCTGATTTTTCAGAACTGTCTAAGAACCACTGCAGACCATCTGATATTACTTTGGAGAGTTCCTACATGACCAGTCCATTCTTCAAAAGGAGTCTGGGCACTCCTTCTGCCCATTGGTTGAGTTTGTACCCTATGCCACTCCACTTCCTAGTTCTGAATGACAGTACAGCTATGTGAGGAGCTCTTTATGGCCCGAGGGAGGGGGCATGAGAGAATGTTCATAAGAGAATAGGAACCTCATGATTGGTCTCAAGATCTCCAGAAGAACTTGTTGCTCATAGCTGCTTAAGGAGTTACAAGAAAATTTGATTACACATACCTGCCCCAAGCCAGGACAGAAAACTAAACAGGGACCAACCTGGATGGGAGACTACCAAGGGAATCCCAGGGTTGTGGGCTGGACTGGAAAGTTAAAAAAAAACAAACCATTATTCCCTGCCATGATGTATGATGTGAGTGATAGTTTCTGCACAAGTACAAAGGGAAGAAGATTTTTATGGTGCTGGAGAAGGCTACTTTGCATTCCTCGGACAGCCATGGGAATCAACAGTTCAATACTAGAGGAACGGAGAGAATTATCACTGGAAGCAAGGTTCATGAAACAAAAACTAATGTTGATGCATCTATGGAAAACATGTTAATGCTGGGCAATGTGAATGGAAAGAGAAAAAGAGGCTGACAGCAATAAGGTGGATAGGCAAAATACTGAAAGCCACAAAAATGCACTTGCAAGAATTGTGTAATGCAGCAAGAGACAGGACAGCTTGGAGAGCTGTAGGAGTCACCTACAACTTGACAAGGCATAACAACAACAATGCATATAGCCACACTGAAGCACATCTCTAAGA